TATTCCCTTCATGCTTTTTGCTGCAAACGCTGTCTTTTCAGAAAAAAAAGCAGTGTTTACATTACAGTCTAGTGATAAATCCACTGGCCACTCATCAGATGGCTGCTAGAGGAGCTTCCTGGGGCAGTGCTCCACAGTGAGCAGCACTGCCATTCAGTGTCTCCACCCTCTGCATGCACTTTCCTTATTGAGATGCCTTGATTCAATTCATCTCTATGAGGAGACGCTGATTGGCCAGAGCTGTATTTGGCTTCTGCTGGTTCTGCCCCTGATCTACCTCCTTGACAGTCTCATCCAATCCTATGAGGAAGCATTGTGATTGGCTCAGACCACCACTTCTGATTATGTCAGTAGGTCAGAGGCAGACAGGGGCAGAGCCAGCAGCTGCAGACTGGATACAAGTAAGATTTTACAATATTTATGGAGGCAAGAGTGGGGCAGGGTGGCTAGATGGTGGTTTCAACACTATAGGCTCAGGAATACATGTTTGTGTTCCTGACCCTATAGTGTTCCTTTAACAACAACACATGACATATTAGAACATGTCCAATAATATATAACTGTGTATGTACAAAAATAGGTGATGTGTGAGTAGTGACACTTAAAACACAGTAGGACGGCAGGGGGTAATATTCATAAATCAAAATTCTGGTTTGTATCAATAGAGCAATCAGTTATAGTATAGATAACCCCGAAGGCTTTAAATCCAGACTAATGATACCATGATAGAAAATTACAAAATATACATTTGTAACACAATTTAACTTCTATGTCTCAGCCATGTGAATAAAAAAGTAGCAGATTTGCAAGAGCTCCTGCAGAGAAATTGAAAGGTAAAGTCCAACCTAGTCTATAGAGCAGGCAGAAACATCTAGAACTACAGAGATCCTGGTAAAAATATAGTTAATAAGGGAATAACTTGGCATCAGTAGAGGGGTAAGCTTTGGGTAACAGGAGAACCCTGGTTTGACACAAAACTGTTTCAACCAAAACCACTACAATAAGCTGCTTAGATTGTCTGTTTAATAAATATATCGTAACTTAGTAAAAACAAAAATACATTTTAAAAGTCTGGGCTATACTAACTGCCAGCTGCTGTGTTTAATATGTAATAAGGAAAAAAGAAATATGCATCTATCTCGCTTAGAGAGGACTATTATGGGAGGATAGCATTTTGTTTATTTTTATCGCTAGGCAATAATGTTGCTAATTATCCCCCAGTGGCTGCATTTCACCAGGAAAAATGGCTCTGCACACAGCTTTGGCAATTTCATCCTGATCAATGTGGTCTGATTGGAAGGCGATCGTTCTGTTATTGCGGCTTCAACACAATTTTCTTTTAGCCTATCCAGGCGTCTACAATGCCTGACTGCAAATCCTCAGAAAAAAAATATTAAAGGACAATTTGAAGTCCTAACAGAACAAAATTTAGAAAATCACTGTCATGATGTGCTATTATTTTTCTATCTTTTAAGGGGTCAGATACCATATTGGCCCCTTGTCACGCTTGTAGTGACTGTAGAGACGTTGTATGAGGTTAGAGAGAACCAAACATGTCTGTCTACGAAGGTGGAAATTTATCAGCCAGTGTGGAAAGGAAAAATACTGGATATTCAAGAGACTTTTTTGTCGGTGGCAGGCTGCGTGTTTCACATTCACATGTGGATGCTACCATTTTTGTCCTTTCGGAACAAAATTTCATCATGTAAATCATTGTCATGACGTGCAATTATTTTCCTATCTTTGAAAGTTCAGATGCCATCTTTGCCACTTGTCATGCTTGCACTAACTGGAGGGAGGTCGTGTGAGGTTAGATCGAAGCAGACACAGCTGTCTGTGAAGGAGGAAGTTTATTACCCTGTGCGAAAATTGAAAAATACTGAAACATCAAGAGATTCATTTTCTGATACTACTTTAGGGCAAATTCAGTTTTCAGAAACAAGTGTGAAGCCAAAGACATGGAACATGATAGCTTTATCTTTATTGTGTGCACAGTAACACATCATTAAAGCAGCACTGTCACCCGCCACCCCACAAATTGAATATTTCATAAATATAGAATCTTTATGGAATAATCATTGACTGTGTTGCAATTTTACTCAAATTCTAACCCGGTCAAAAGATATAATGACTCAGTATTTTTCCTATGCCTGGCACTTCAAGACACCTGGAGGAGTTACCACTGTCCATAAGTGTCAGTCCTCCAGCTATCACCAGTGACGGCTTTAGGGAATTGGCTCGATCTATGAAGAATCCTGCAGTCTTGTGGGATCCAGCATAGACCTCAATGCTGTACTCTCGAGCATGCACAAGAGTACATTCATGACATCAGCTCCTGGTGCCAAGAGCAGGAGAGGACCAGACGGAAGATGGTGGCAATGCCCATGAGAGACCGGTTCAGGTAAGTTAATTTCACCTTTTGACAACCCCCCGGCACCGGACCTTCAGCAGCTATGTCGCCATCTGTGTTCGTTGCAAAGTCCCCAGATGATGACAGTTCCTCTTTAAAATTGGTAATGACTTTCAAAAACTGTCTTGAGGGTAAAAAAACATGGAGGAACCTAGTAAGGAACAAATGATGTTCCTGTTCTATTTGGGGCTACAAAACAACTTTTTGTAAATAGTTTGACTACTTACCTTGGGAAGGTGCAGGGGTACTCCTGGCACCATAACCATTACAGCATGCAGCCTGGCAGTGTCACTTGTTGAATATTTCATAGTGCTTGTAGCATAATGTTGACAGAGATTACCCTTCATTTTACTCATAATTTGGCATTCTAAGAAAAAGACTGCATTTCTTGGTATATGTCTCTTGCTCACCAAACCTTTCGGTTGCATTCGAGATCCACAATGGCTTCCAATCTACCAATTCCCACTAGTTTACCCATTGTCCTTCCTCATTCTTCTTGTCCGTATAAATGTAATCTGCATGTAGCTTATTAGTTTTTTTTCAACTTGAAGTTTATTGGCATTTCAAAATAAGGTACGCATACTAAAAGGGGAGGTAAAGGTACATTCGGATATTCATGACAGTCCATTAATAATAACAGAAAATTGTATTACATAGCGATAGCTTTGTTTTATACAGAATAAAATCAAAGTCTCTGTCAGCCTGAAGAAGATAGGAGAATTGATCTATCTCTCTCTTTTTTTTTTTTTTTTATAACACCTATACACCTCTTATGTAGGTATGCCTGGTGCCAATTGTACCCTCGCTTAGTTACTCCTTTTTGGAAATCAGAGAAGGTTCAACATGTGAGTAGGATTAGTGGTCTGGTTTCTGATTGTTACCTGGGGATTTATGGGGTGAGGGGAGAAGGGGAGGGATATCTTCCCTGGTACGGTCTGGGTACGTTCAGGGGAATCAGTTTTAGTAACAAGGACTCTGTCATGCATTCTATTCTGAGACCTGTTGCTGCTTGTATCAAAGCCGCCATTCCATAGGTTTCTTACCCCTGGGCATGTCCACCACATGTGGAGCATCGTTTCTATGGCTGTGGGCAAGTGGCATCTCCAGCATTGATTGCTGACATTAGGATATAATTTAGCCAGTTTAGCCATCACCACATACCACCTGTACAGAGTTTTCCTTTCTGCACACTGAAGATTTGGTTCCATTCATCCAGAGTTAGCTCATGACCTAAGTCCGTGTGCTAGTCTCTCATGAACCCCCAGTGCGGTACTATTTTGTGCATAGTTATGTGTTTGTAGCATATTGACAGGGTCTTTCTAGGTGGGGTTATATGCAGGCACATCTTCTCAAAGGGAGTAAGTATGATATTCACTTTTTGATCTTTTTCTATGGCCTTTTCTATGGTGCACGCAAGGAGTATTTTCAATTGTAGATATGGAAATGTTTGTGGTAGTGAGTGTGTCTCGTGGAGTTTTGGAAAAGGTTTGAGCCTTTTTTTCTGAATATACCTGATGTATGTGAGTTATGCCATGCTGGTGCCATTTTATTTTTATTATTCTTTATTTTTGTTGTGCAAGTAATAACAAATAGGCTGGATACCCCATGACAGCGATACAAAGCATGAGAAAAACAGATAATAATAGTATCATGGCATATAGAGAAATTGCATATTTTTTGTACTATGATAACAAGTTAGTAAAAGTGAAGGTCGGTAGGTAAGTAAAGCTTAACATTCTAGAAATTATTATTATTATTGCCATTTATATAGCGCCAACAGATTCCGTAGTGCTTTACAATATTTTGAGAGGGGGGATGTAACAATAAATAGGACTATTACAAGAAAACTTACAGGAACAATAGGTTGAAGAGGACCCTGCTCAAACGAGCTTACAGACTATAGGAGGTGGGGTATTAGAAACATTAGGACAGGAAATATCAAGTAGGAGTGAAGCAGAGCTGGAGGAGAGAGCAAAGCACTGTCCTATAGGAGAGAGCAGGAGACAGGTATGTGAGTTAGCGGTTACTCTGGGAGGCCATAAGCTTTCCTGAAGAGATGGGTTTTAAGGCCCTTCTTAAATGATTGAAGACTAGAGTCTGATGGCAGTAGGCAAGCTATTCCATAGGAGAGGAGCTGCCCCCGAGAGGTCCTGCAAGCGCGAGTTGGCCGTACGGGTGCGAGCAGCAGTCAGGAGGTGGTCAAGGGCAGAGCGGAGGGTACGAGGAGGGGCATATCTATGGGTTAGTGAAGAGATATAAGAGGGGCTAGAATTGTTCAGTGCTTTAAATGTATGGGTTAGCACTTTGAATTGACTCCTATAGCATACAGGGAGCCAATGTAAGGACTGGCAGAGGGGTGAGAGGACCGACTAGAGAGGAAAATCAGTCTAGCTGCAGCATTCATTACAGACTGTAGCGGGGCAATACGGCTTTTGGGGAGACCAATCAAGAGAGGGTTACAGTAATCCATGCGGGAAATTACTAGAGCATGGACAAGCTCCTTGGTAGCATCTTGCGTAAGAAAGGGGCGGATGCGGGCTATGTTTTTGAGTTGGAACCTACAGGACTTGGCAACAAACTGGATGTAAGACTCAAAGGTGAGACCAGAGTCAAGTATGACGCCAAGACAGCGTGCTTGCAGGGATAGACTTATGTGGATATCACTGACTACAAGGGTGAGCGAGAGAGGAGGATCAGTATTAGGAGGAGGAAAAACAAGGAGTTCAGTTTTAGAGAGGTTAAGTTTCAGAAAGCGTGAGGACATCCAGTCAGAGATGGAAGAAAGGCAAGCAGTGACACGTTGCAGGACGGCAGAGGAAAGGTCTGGGGAGGAGAGGTGTATCTGAGTGTCATCAGCGTACAGGTGGTAGTGGAATCCAAAAGAGGCAATAAGTTTACCAAGAGAGGCAGTATAAAGAGAAAATAGAAGGGGACCAAGGACAGGCCCTTGGGGAACTCCAACCGAGACAGGACGAGGGGAGGAGGTATCCTTGGGAAAGGAGACACTGAATGAGTGTTGGGAGAGATAGGAGGAAAACCAAGAGAGGACAGAGTCACAGAGACCGAGCGATTGAAGAGTTTGAAGGAGGAGAGCATGATCAACGGTGTCAAAGGCAGCAGAGAGGTCAAGGAGAATTAATATGGAGTAGTGACCTTTGGATTTAGCGGAGATTAGGTCATTAGTCACTTTGATAAGAGCAGTCTCAGTAGAGTGGAGAGGGCGGAAGCCAGACTGAAGAGGGTCAAGGAGAGAGTTGGAATTAAGGAAGCGGGACACACGGGTAAAGACAAGTCTTTCCAAAAGCTTTGATGAGAAAGGGAGCAGGGATATGGGACGATAGTTAGAAGGGGAGGATGGGTCAAGAGATGTTTTTTTCAGGATAGGTATTACAGTGGCATGTTTAAGGTCAGCAGGAACAGTGCCAGAAGAGAGAGAGCAGTTAAAGATGTGTGTTAGGGTAGGCACTAGACAAGGGGAGAGAGATCTGATGAGGTGAGATGGGACAGGATCGAGTGGGCAAGTGGTCGGGCGAGAGGAATGGAGAAGCACAGCCACCTCTTGGTTAGTAGCCGGGTAGAAAGTCTGGAGGGTAGGGAAAGCATGATTTACATGTGGTTGAGAAAGAGAACGGCAAGGAGGGGAGAATTGTTTCCTTAGCTGTTCAATCTTGTCAGTAAAGTAGCATGCAAAGCTATCAGCTCTAAGGGATGGGATGTTGGAAGAGAGGAAGTAGGGTAGCCAGGCAGCAAAGTGGTCAAGGAAGAGGAGAGGGGAACCAGGGGGACGATAGATTACGGCAATGTTAGCAGAGAAGGGTTTGAAAAGGCGAATTGAATGAATTTCAAATGATGGGAAAGAGAGGGAAGGGGGGGTGGACAGGGTTTTAAAGGAGCAGTGAGATGAGAGAAGGAAACCTACACCGCCACCTTTAATCTCTGCTTGTCTTGGATTGTGGGTAAAGTGAAGACCGCCAAAGGACAGTGAGGCAGGTGTAGCAGTATCAGAGGGAGAGAGCCATGTTTCTGTTAGTGCAAGTAGGTTTAGGGAGTGTGAGATAAATAGGTCATGGATGGAAGTAGATTTAAAGGTGCTGCACACAGAGCGTGCATTCCATAGGGCAGCTTTAAAAGAGGAATTATAGTGAGAATTACATGGAATGGGTATTAGGTTGTTGTGGTTTCTGGTGTTTGTACCAGGTGGCTGAGTAGTGGAGGGACCAGGGTTTGGAGAGACATCACCTGCTGCTAGGAGTAGTAGGATGGAAAGGAAGAGAAGGTGGGAGTAAGATTTAAATGTTGGGGCTGAGAGCTTGTATTTAGGGTATTTAGGAGGGGTGTGTGGAGAAAGGCTGGATAAATATGAGTAAAGTGCTTGTGATGAATACAGAGATGAGGGGAGCAGAGTTGGAGCAATGAAGATGGTGTTAGCAGAAACAGGTAAGTAAAATGATAGAGAGATTTTAATGATGAGGGAAGTGAGAGAGAAAGTGAAAAATAGAAGTGAGAACATTAGTAGGAGAGTAGGTGCTGTATTTTTAAGAGCTGTGGTTAGGAGGGTTAAGGGTTAAAGAGGTATTGTGTGAGTATAGCTATTTTGGGTGTGGAGGGCTTGGTGGACAGAGGCTAACATAATTGGTTTAACAGGAAGGTAGGTAATATGAGCTATCTATAAATATAGTGATTACCGTGGGGTAGGGTGGGTGGGAAGCGATCATCCAGAAATGCTACCTCTGCTTATGGCAAGTCCTGCAGGGTTGTGTGCTTGGAGTCCTGGGTGTAGCTGATTCAATATTGTATGGGGCCCAGGCTCTGCTTATGGCAAGTCCTGCAGGGTTGTGTGCTGGGTGTAGCTGATTCAATATTGTATGGGGCCCAGGCTCTGCTTATGGCAAGTCCTGCAGGGTTGTGTGCTGGGTGTAGCTGATTCAATATTGTATGGGGCCCAGGCTCTGCTTACGGCAAGTCCTGCAGGGTTGTGTGCTGGGAGTCCTGGGTGTAGCTGATTCAATATTGTATGGGGCCCAGGCTCTGCTTAGAGTTACGTTGTGATCAGTAGTAGACAGCAAGAGAGTACTCTGGATTGGTAAGTTACAAGATGGTTAAGTTACAAGATGTGAAGACAAGACTAGGCTTAATGTGAGGTTTAGAGCAGTAAAGAACAGTGATTTGCATTATACCCAGTCCTGTAGTGAGTAAACAGAGTGTGCACAACTTAAGAGACTTATTACTTCAAACTGGGTGTATGTTGAAGGTGACAATGGTGAAGGTGCAGATATATAACATGAAACATGAATATAAGCCTATAGAGTCCAGATATTACACCTGGTGCAATGGTAGGAACCTCCAGGCTCACTCTACTCCACTGCTGGCCCATAAGTGAAAGGCTAGCTCCACTCCAGGCATGTTGTCTCCATCTACTGGCACAGAATGGTACCGGATGTGTTGCTGCCCAGGAGATGGTAGTCTGTTGCGCTGCAAGCTCCTGCAGTCTCGGCTCCGGGTCATGATGGGGAAACCCTTCCTTGCGTCTACGGATCCCCCTACTCCAGGTGGCAGGATCATGGCCCGCTGGATCTCCAAGGTCTGGACGTCCTCGCGGGTGTGTGGACTTTGGTGTGGAGATGTCTCCATGTGGGCCCCCAGCCCAGAAAGAGCACCATCAGTAGAGCTTGCCTCGCGCGGCACACAGGCAGCAGGCAGGGTGAGGTGAGTCGATCAGCTCGCAATGCAGACCCAGAACGACTGGAAGAGTACATCAACTCTGGCTTCAAATTGTGCCTTCTAGTCCTGGCCCTCCAAATTTACGCTGCCCTGTTGCGGCTCCATCGCGGCGGCCATCTTGGTTGCGCCACAAGGCACTTAATACAGGAAGCCCTGAGTCGTCAGGTAGGGAGTCTGAGTGGCCCAGTGGGGACCATGATATCCCCAACCAGTCCGGGGAGGGGGGGAGTTACGGAGGTGCTGCTAGTCCGTTTCGGGATCAGCGCCCAGAGCTAGGAAATTGGCCATTTTACCCAGTTGTCGGCACACCCGCCATAGTAGGCTTTAGACTTGGACATGAGACAGAAATAGCAGAGTTCCCCCAAATCAGGATTGGATAGGTGTGGTGGGATTCGGTGTCTTCTGTGAGTAGTCCATAAGCGCCTAATTTGCAGGAATCCACTTGGGAAGCTTGTTGTAGTGATTTGAATGTATCGTTGTAGATCTGTAGTGAGCATATAGGCATCACTAGAGACCATGACTGTGTGTTAGTGACCAAGTATTTCAATCATTCCAGGATTGAAATAGTAAGCGGGTGGATGGCAGAGTGGTAAGGGGCAATTTCAGGAGAGTTTTAGGCACCCATATTGTTGCTGCAAAATCCTGTTGTTTGCAGTAATGTTCCTCTATGTTTACCCATTGGGCATGTAAGTTTTGGAATGGATTCCAATGATGTTTGCGAGGTGTGCTGCTTGTAAGTAAGCTTTTAGGTTCAGGATGTTCAGCCCACTCTTCTCGTTTGGTTTCATAAGCAGGGCCCTTGAAATACGTGTGTGTTTTCCTCCCCTGCTAAATTTCATAAGAATAGATTGCAGTAATTTAAGGTAAGTGTGGGGCAGGGGTATGTGTAGAGTATTGGCCGAACCAGGATAGGAATTTATTTTGCCAATTGTGCAGTGTGTTCTCTATCGCTTTCTGTAATTTGTCATAATTGTGGCGGTGGAGGTGTTTTTATTTTTTGGTAATTTTAATCCCTAAAATGGAAATTGTCCTTCCAGTCGTACCGGAATGTCTTTTTCAGTCTAGCCTCCAAGTCAGCTCCATTAATTAGTAAGAAACAAAGGTAGACAGATCACTAAAAGCAAACTAAAAGTGACACACTTGCAGATAACTATAAAACCAGATCTATAAACAATTTATAAAATAAATGAATGTCCATAAATAAGTACAAATTGGATAATCTAACAGATAGTGTTCCACTTGAACATACACAATGTACAACCTTGCAGTTACACTATCAGGTCATATAACCTCTTTGACGAATGTATAGCTTTAATGAATTACCTTTTGAAACAAAATAAAGAATATTTTAATTTCTGTAACTACTCTAGTAGTATTTGAGTGTGGTATTATTTCAATACAAACAATGGTCTGGAAATCTTTTATAAACAGGACTATACATAGGACATGGGGCCACGCATTTAGACCCCCCTCATTCCCCCAGATGTCAAAGTAATTTGAGAAATGAATGAATGTAATCACCTAATCATTCTGACATGGGGAAGAAATTACTCACTGCTATATAATAATCTTCCAAGCTCACCGTTTCTTCATAATTACAGTTACCTCTGGAGAAACCTCTTCTTGCAGGATCATTATCGAGCTTTTTCGTATTTGCCATTTTACTTCTATTAATGTTGCTCTCCTCTGTCTACTCGTCCTCTTTACAGCCTAATCAATTATCTCTGCTCTTAGGTCAGTACAGTGCATGTGCCTCTGTTGTCTGTTTACTCTATGTACGCAGTTAGGCAGTTGTGCTGACAGACTTACATTTAGTCATGTGTTTTTAGGTAAATGTGGTGATAGGCCTACATTTACTTGCTTTTTTGTTTTAAATTCTTTATTTTAGCGGTGCTTGGGAAGCACAAAAACTGAAAAATCACAATGACATAAGAATGTGGTCACAAGAGCAAGTATAATACAATGCAGATTAGTATAGCATGTCTCATGGTCAGCACCATTTTTTAATCAAACAGGTAAACGAACATAAAATACCCGAGGCTTAAGGTTGTGATGGTCTCATGGTACTTTAACTCTGGGCCAGATTCAGGTTAGATAACTTGTGTGCTTAAGGTATATCCATGATTGTTCCGTGGGGAACGATAGACATTCAGTAAGGAGATATATAAACTATCTCAGTGTGCTGTCAGGTGGTAGTGCAAGAACTTTGGTTTGGGGTAACTAGGGGGTCTATTCCTGATAGCTGTGGTTCAAACCACAATACTTTATGTGCCCCTAACCGAGGAGGCTGTGGGGGGGTGGGGGGGGGGGGGGTAGAGAAAGGGGTGAGAAGGTGGCTAAATTATTTGTCAGCAGTAAGGTGGAAAATGTGCCCTTATCACTTATGGTCAGGTGAGCGCCAGGTGGGTTTTACCCACTCCAGTGCCTCTAGGGATATGAGCAATTGAGGTAAGCCTCCAGAGGTGTGAGGGAGGTGTGCAAAGGAAAATTGTGAACAAAATACAAAGTAGAACAGTAAACGTGTGACTGTATAAATAGGCATGACAGTGACAGCAGGCTTAGTCAGTTGTTGAGAGGTGCAGCTCCACTAGCTGCCTGCACAAAGGGCGCTATGTTGGTAGGATCCCAGGTGTGTTGTGTTGCCTGGTGAGTCGTGGTGGGAGGTGATACAGGGAGACCCAATGCGGTCAGAAGTGCCGATGCATCTGATGCTGAGTTAAGTCTATGTACAGTTACGTTATGGGCCACCAGCAGTGATCGAGGTGCCCCCATCTATAGATAATTCCTTACTTAGCGTAGTTGAAGAGTGAGATTCCGAAGGGACATGCTCCATTGCAGGGTAGCTCATGTTGGGTCTTGATACACAGATAACTGAGATTCCTCAAATGCGAATGGATCTTGCCCCGCAGTGTAGCCATGAGGAGCCTCTTGTCCTAGGAGGATTTGCAGCGAAGAATAACTCCCAGTGGAGCGGCAGTGGGAGGCTTAGTAGCATCAGGGAGTCGTTATATTCC